TCCATACTGTAGCATGTATCAAGACTTCATTTCTCCTGCTGGCTGAGTAGTATTCCATTGTATGTATGTACCACATTTTTTTTTATCTATTTATCTGTTGATGGGAATAATGTTTTGAGGCACATTGCAAAGTGGCACACATTTATCATTACAAGCCATTGTACGTACGTTGAATTTTTGATATAATAGGCTTTATGGGGTTGGTTTGTAACTACGCATTGTATTAAGTCAGATGTTCGTAACCCAGGGACTGCCTATATAAACTTACAGAACCACGGATGTACGTCCCATCAGACGTTGCCCAAGCAGATCATTATGTGGCGCATGACTCTATATTAGATCAACTCTACTGATAACCTATGTAATGTTTGTACTTGGCACGTGAGATCATTGTTCTGGCAACACCAAAGAGAAACTGTTTCTTAAAGTGAAACATACCTTTCATAAAACAGTGAAGGCTGATCAATGACTGTTTTCATTGGTAACAATGAAATACTAATCAACTCAACACTAAGAAGATCAGTGAAGTCTTGACATTGTGATGCGAATCAGTAACACTTCCAGGTCTTGGAAGTGTAAAGAGATGTGCAGAGCCAACCTATGGAATGGGAACAAATTAACATACCCGAGAGCAGAGACAAGATAGTGGTCTTCCCTGCTCCATTATGTCCTAGAAGAGCAGTGATTTGCCCCTCATACAGGTTCAGAGTCAGGTCTCTCACTGCTTCTTTGTAAGTACTCCCCACCTTAAATACCTGTGAAGGTAAAAAAAGAATAACTTTCTATGTTACATCAGAAAAGTCTTATAATAGATGAATGTGATACTTTAGATTATTTTTAGATTTTATCTCTAGAATACAAGCACTTCTACTTCACACTGAATTCAGTTACATGTATAACTGTCTATTTAGAGGCATCTCAGAATTTTCCTATGGAAAAACACTACTTATCTACAATTCCCATTAGCTCATAATATAGAGTTTCAGCAAGAAATGAAAGGAAAGACGTGAACTAGGAACCTTATGGTTTGAAAGGGCATTACAAATCAAAAAGCAAACAATTATTCAATATACACATTTTAAATAGATTAACGAACAATATGTGAAAAACATACTTTTAAAACTTGGAGAAGAAAACACAGGATAACATAATAGTAACCCTGGGTTAAAGACAGGCCATAAAAAGCACAAATCACAAAGGGAAAGACTGATACATCTGACTGTATCAAAATGTAAAATACCTCTATAAAAGGCATTACAAACAAAAGTTTTAAAAAGTTTAAAGGCAAGCCATAAACTAGAAGACATTTTTCATCAAATTTTTTTTACATTACTGAAATACATTTCTCATAACATAAAATTCAAAGTATACAGTTCAGTGGTTTTCAAAATATTCGGAGTTGGGCAACCATCACCACAATCTGATTTTTGAACATTTTCAACACACTAAAAGGAAACCTCACACACATAAGAAATCACTCCCCATTCCCACTCCCCTACTCATCCTTCCCAGCCCTAGTCAACCACTAATTTACTTTCTGTTTCTATGCATTTGCCTATTCTGGACATTTTACATAAATGGCATCCTATGTGGTTTTTGTGACTGGATTCTTTCACTTAACATAATGTTTTCAAGGTTCATCTGTGTTGCAGCATGCATCAGCACTTTATTCCCCTTTTTGCTGAATACTATTCCGTTCTATGGATATACCAGATTTTGTTTGTTCATTCATCAGTTGATGACATTTAGTTGTTTCCACTTTTAGGCTATTATGAATAATGTTGCTCTGAATATTCATGTACAAGTATTTGCATGTTTTCATTTCTCTTGGGTATATGCCTAGGAGTGGAATTGCTGGCTCATATAGATAACTCCATGTTCAGCATTTTGAAGAACTGCCCTACTATTTTCCATATACCACTGTATATTCCCACCAGCAATGACAAAGGTTCCAATTTCTCTGCATACTCACAAAAATTCATTATCTGTCTTTTCCGGAAAGGGCCACATAACCAGAGACTGCATCAGCCTGAGACCAGAAGAACTAGATGGTACCTGGCTACCACCAATGACCGCCCTGACAGGGACCACAACAGAGAGTCCCTGATGGAGCAGGAGATAAGTGGGGTACAGAACTCAAACTCTAGTTAAAAGACCAGACTTAATGGTCTGAGACTGGAGGAACCCCAGAAAGCACGGATCCCAGACTCTCTGTCAACCCAGAACTAAAACCATTCCTGAGGACAACTCTTCAGACGAAGATTAGGCTGGACTATGGGACATAAAATGATACTCGTGAAGAGTGTGCTTCTTAGCTCAAGTAAATACATGAGACTAAACGGGCAGCTCCTGTCCTGACGTGAGATGAGAAGGCAGAGGGTCAGGAGCTGGTTGAATGGACACGGGAAGTCAAGGGTGGAAAGGAGGAGTGTGCTGTCACATTATAGGGAGAGCAATTAAGTCACATAACAATGTAGGTATATATTTTTGTAGGAGAGACTAACTTGAATTTTAAACTTTCACTTAAACTACAACAACAAAATTTATTAGCTGTCTTCTTAATTACAGCTATTCTAGTGGGTGTGAAGTGGTTTTTCACTGTGGTTGTGATTTGCATTCTCCTGATGAGTAATGATACTGAGCATCTTCTCATGTGCTTATTGACCATTTGTGTATCTTCTTTTTGTATAACTATTTGTATATTTGCATTTGTATAACAGATACTTGTATATCTATTCAGATCCTCTGGACACTTTCTAACTGGGTCGTCTTTATATAAAGAAATTACAAAACTTCTTTATATATTCTAGATACAAGTCCCTTATGGGAAATATGATTTGCAAATATTTTCTCCAAATCTGTAGATTGTCTTCACGTTCTTGATGGTGTCCTTTGAAGCACATTGGTTTTTAATTTTGATGACGCTCATCTGTTTTTTCTTTCGTTGCTTAAGCTTTTGGTTTCGTATCTAAAAAACCATTGCCTAATTCAAGGTTATGAAGATTTACCCCTATGTTTTCTTCCAGGAGTTTTATACTTTTAGCTCTTACATTTAGGTCGATGATACATTTTGAGTTAATTTTTTTGTGTGTATGGTGTATTCGTTTCCTACTGTTGCTGTAACAAACTACCACAAACTTGGTGACTTAAAATGACAATTTATTATCTTATAGTTCTGTAGATAAGAAGTGCAAAATAGATCTCCCTGGGCTAAAATCAAGGGCTGCATTACATTGGGAGGCTCTAAGGAAGAACCATTTCATTTTCTTTTCTAGATTCTAGGGGCTGACTGCATTATTTGGCTCATGGACTTCTTCCATATTTAAAGCCTACAATTGCATCACTCTGATCTCTGCATCCCTCATTACGTCTCCTCTGATTCTGACTTCCCTGCCTCCCTATTTCACTTATAAGGACCCTTGGGAATACAGGTAGTCCCTTTACGACAGGGTTTTGTTCTAACAACTACTTCTTCGTAAGTTGGTTCTGACGTAGGCTGAATACCTCAATTTTTTTTTTTTAGTGTTATTATTGCCTTTTATTATCAATAGTTTTATATATCTGATCTTTACTTGTCTTCAGGGGTTGGAAACATTATATCTGAGGATGATAACATCAGCAAATTACACGCTGTAACACTGTATGTACTACATATTACTAACGATAAGATGTACAAAAAAAAAAAAAAAAAACCCAAAAAACCCAAACACAGATGGTCATAAGTATGGTTCATTGTAACTGGAATACAATGTAAATTGGAGACTACCTGTACACTAGGCCCACTCAGATAATCCTGGATGATCTCCCCACCTCAACATCCTTAACGTAATCACATCTGCTAAGTCCCTTTTCCCTGTAAGGCAACATATTGACAGGTTCTAGGGGTTAGGACATCTACATCTTTTGGAGTGGTATATTATTCTGCCTACTACAGTCTGCCTTCTGGCTTTCAAAGATTCATGTCTATCCCACATGCAAAATACTTCCACCCCACCCCCAAGGTCTCAAACCACGATAGCATCAACTCAAAGTCTAAAATCTCATCTAAAGCTCATCAACTCAAAAAAGTTCCAAATTCATAGACTAAACCATTTAAATCAGGTATGGGTGAGACTCTGGGTATGATCCATCCTGGGGAAAATTTCTTCTTCATCTCTGGACCTGTGAAACAAGAAAACAAGTTATCTGCTCCCAAAATACAATGGCAGGACAGGCATATGATAACAATTATAGACATTCCCATTCAAAAAAAAGAGAAAACAGAAGGAAAAAAGAAGTCATCAGTCCCAAGCAATTTTGAAATCCAGCCGGGAAAACATTAGATTTCAGAGCTTGAGAATACTCCTACTAGGTTCGAGGTTCTATTGTCTGGGCTTGTAACTCTGTCCTCTAGACCTGAGGCTCTGCCCTCTGGGCTTGAGGCTCTGCTTTCTGAGTCATCCCTTTTCACGAAACGTGGCATGTGTTGGTATCTGAGTAATTTATCAGTCCATTTCCTGCCTGGAGAACTTTAGGTGTCTGACAGCCTTCTTTCATTTCGTTTCTCTGTCTCTTTTAGCCCAAGCCAGCAGTGTTTCCACTGGTGTAAAAGCCTCAAGAACCCATGTATGTCACAGGAATCCACTCCATTACACAAGAGGATCCTCCACAGATACTTCCTGGGTAATCCCATCTCTATTCCTGGCTTCTGCTGAGATGTCTGAGGGATTCACGGGTCACATGCTTGAACTTCAAGTCCTCTTCCGAGACACTAGCAAAAGATTTTCTACCCATAACTTTTCTCTCTAGAGCATGCTTTCCTGACAGTGACTCTATATGTGATATATAAACCCAAACATCAAACTAGGAAAAGAACTTCCACAACATGATAAAGAACATTTATGAAAAACACAAAGCTAACATCATACTCAATGGTGAAAGACTGAAAGCTTTCCCCTTAAGATCAGGAACAATACAAAGATGCCTACTCTCACCACTGCTATTCAACACAGCACTGGAAGTTCTAGCCAGAATAATTAGGCAAGAAAAAGAAATAGAAGGTACCCAAATTAGAAAAGAACAAGTAAAACTATCCCTACCAGCAGATATGACATGATCCTACATGCAGAAAATCCCAAATAATTTACAAAAAATTACCAGAACTGATTTTAAAAAATCTGTAAATTTGCAGAGTACAAGATTAGTGTGTAAAAATCAATTATGTTTCTATACACTAGGAACGAACAATCTGAAAAAGAAATTAAGTAAACAATTCTATTTACAATAGCATGCAATAAAATAATACCTAGGAATAAATTCAATCAAGGAGGTGAAAGACACTTACACTAAAAACTACAAAACACCGCTGAAAGAAATGAAATGATACCTAAATAAATGAAAAGACTTCCTATGTTCATGGATAAAGACTTAAAACTGTTACATGGTGCTGTGTAAACTTCCACCAAAAACATAATAAAATATTTAAAAAAATTGTTTAGATGGCAATACTACCCAAAGAGATCTATAGATTCAGCATAATCCCTATCAAAATCCTAATGGCATTTTTTACAGAAGTAGAAAAAACCTATCCTCAAATTTATATGGAACCTAAAGGGACCTCAAATAGTTAAAACAATTCTGAAAAAGAACAACAAAGTTGGAGTACTCACACTTTCTGATTTTAAGACTTACTACCATGCTACAGTAATCAAAACCATTGTGGTACTGATAAAAGAATAGACATATAGATCAATGGGATAGAATAGACAGCCCAGAAAAGACATATAGATCAATGGGATAGAATAGACAGCCCAGAAA